CGCCACCCTTGCACAAAACGACGATAATTTTTCTAATTTCATAGACATCAGAAGACTGTATTTTTTCTACCTAACCCCCCCTGAATTTAAAGCTGGATCCGCCCCTGGTTTCCTCAATGTACTGGGGGTTTGATTGAGAAAATTGTGCCGAAGATTTTCCACTGTTCGCGTGAAATTGCGCCAATACTTTCTGCTGATGTCTGGAATTTTTAGTTTTCCACTGGGAGATTCGCTGTTTTCTTTTGCGAGTGGGGATTTTTTTGCACAAAATCTCAATTTTGCTCAACGCTACACGGCTCTTCAAGCGTTGGTTGCACTTGGATAGCAATAGACGAGGTGGCCGAGTGGTTAAGGCGTTGGACTGCTAATCCAATGGGCTCTGCCCGCGTGGGTTCGAATCCCATCCTCGTCGGTCCTTTTTAATTTTTTTTTAATTTCTTGAATTGATGCAAATTTTTCCAATTTTTCTCTCAGTGCCATTCAATAATTTCCAGTGAAGTATGGGCTAAAACAGTTTCGCACCCGATTTGGCAATGGTTTTCCACCCGATTTCCTCCCTGCCACTGCGCAAATACCAACTTATTGATATCCAAACTCGGCAAAGCTTTCCATTAAAGCGCCGCTCCATTCCAAATGCACCAGCATGGACAATGGAAACGGCAAAGACGGGAAAGACACTCAACAGATCATTATCCAGTCGAGTAATTACAATGTTACAGTTATTCCTGTGGAGTTTCCAGTGAGGAATCGACTGTACAGTGCTCAGGACAACGAGTACATCACTGATCAGTACGGGTAAGTAAACGGGTTGTTCAGAGCCTCACTGGCGCAGAAATCGCATTTTTGCATCGATTTCTTGCTTTGCCTGGTTAAATTCTTCCAAGGTGGGCGAAAAGGAAACTGTCCTCTCTTAAGACACTCGACTGGATTTTATTCAACTTTTTCTAACTCGGTTAATTTTTTGATGGTGGCGGAAGGTCGAAACTGTGAAGGTTTGAACAATTTGGTCCACGAATTGTAACAAACTGCAAATTTGATCGTGAAACAAAGAAACCCCAATTCAATAATTGGCTAAAAAGTCGTTGTAAATTGACGAACAAAAATGTTTGCCTCAGAAACCCGACTTTTTTCTACAAAGCGCAACCACGTAAACTTTTGTTTCTTTTCTGGCTGCCGAAAAACGGATTTTTGAGCAAAAAATTGCGTGGAAAATAGACAAACTTTGGAAATGTGCTGAAAAGTGTTTGATGTTGAGAGAACATGGCAACTCTAAGGGTTTGAACAGACCATCTTTCCTCTATAAAAAATGCAACAACTACAGCGATTTTAGCTTGTTTCATTTTGGAAAAACACGATTTTTGCACGACAAACAGCAAACACCTAATTGAAAAGTGGACAACGCTGAAAAATTCCTTATACAATGTCTTATGATTGCGAATGCCCAAACTTCAGACTTCGAAAACCCGACTTTTCTTTATAAAAGGCAACACTGTGAAAATTTGTGGCAAAAAGTTGCAAAAAACTGAGTAGAAAACGAAGAAACTAGGGWWTRATGTTGCAAAGTGTTGCAATTGATGTGGAATCGAATTTTGGAACAGGATTCCAAAAAAGTGTGAAAAATCAACGTTGCACACTGTCTGACGATGATMAAAAATCGAAACCCTTAGGCTTTGAAGAACCGAATTTATCTAAAAAATGCCGTGCGGCGCCGATTGGTTGCTTCACCAGCAAAATCGCACCTCGTGTAATAATATCGTGCATCTGGTTTGATGATGGCGAAAAATCGAAACTGCGTTGATTCAGAAAACCGACTTAAATATTTCTATTTTTTTGATGTCAAAAGGGTACACTTTGGCTAGAAACCGCTGGACAAATGAGCAAGCTTTGAAAATATGTTGCTAAGTGTCTGATGATGGAAACGAATCGAAACTTTTACACTTTAAGCAATCGACTTTTCCTGAAAAATGGTTATCGGCTGGCGGTAGGAAGCCTTTCTGGATGTAGGTACAGAAATAAATTGTGAACAGACTGTTAAATTTGTTTAAAAATTTTCAAAATTTCGAAAATGTACTACCAAGAATTTGGTGATGAACAGAAACCGAAACTTTGTCTGTCGTCAGAAAGCCCACTTTTTCCTATGAAAAGCAACAATGTAAAAACTTGCGGCTTTGCTGAATGTCAAAGGCAGGAGAGTTGCAAGACACTGCTATACCAAGAAAAATTGAAAATCTGTTGTAAAATGTCTGATGATGGTTATAAAGGGTATAAACAGTCGATCTTCCTTAATAAAATGCAACATACATGCAGCTGAGGAGCGGAAGAAGAGTAAAGTACATGCAAAATCCTGAGTGAAGAAACGAATAAAGTTATAAAAGCATTGCAAACGTTTGATACAAAACACAAAAATTCAAAATAAATTTCAGAGGGTCTGATGATGGCAGAGAATCGAAACTAGCAGGATAGAAACGACGTCATTTAATATACAGAGCGCTTTGAAAGTTCATTCACTTCTTGTGCTTGGGACTTTAAACGCTTGGTCTTGGTCGAATCTGATCTTAATTCAGTGCTTTTAACATTTTTTCCAGATACTGCCAGGAGCCGCTCAAGAACTATCCAGGCTTGCAAACTCAATGGGGCAACGAGAAAAGCTCGATTGTAAGCGACAAGAAAGATCATGCAGGCTTTGACGATTACAATGACAATCCCAGTAAGTTCAATTGGGGTTTTTGTGCCCTTAAAGAGCTAATTTTTGTTTTTTTTTGCTCTTTCGCGTGCGAAGTTTTAAGGCTCATAAGTGGGTGTTGTCGCGAATTATTTCAGCTGCTATTTCAAAAAGCAAAGTTGGTACTTTTCTTGTCCATTGCGCGGATTTTGTGCCCTTAAAGGGAGAATTTTCACAAATTTTCAAATTTTWGTTTAACATTCCTCGTCAGTTGTCRGTTGTTTTCTTGCCCATCGGGTGAATTTTGTTCCCTCAAAGGAAGAATTTTGGCGATCTTTCAAATTCTACGGTGTAACTTTCCGTGTCGTTTGTCTGGGGATTTTCAAAGYCCAGTAGCGCAGAAAGTGGGAGTTTTTCGGCATTTTTCTATTGCTAGGCTAAAAGTATCGTTTGTTTGTCCGCTGCGTGGCTTTTGTGCGATTATTTTCGATTTTTCAAAGTTTTTGCCTTAACTTTGCTCGCCTTTTGCATCGGGCTCAAAGTTTAGTAGCGCCGAAAGTTAAGGGTGTTTCTTATAATGGTATTTTCAAGAGAATCTGGTTTTATGTTGGTGCAATCCAATATGTTGGTGCCCTTAAAGGGCTAATTTCTTCGATTTTTCAAGTCCTTGTTGCAACTTTCCCCGCCTTTTGCATGGGGATTTTCAAAGTTCAGTAGCGCCGAAAATGGCCCTTTTTACAAGGTTTTTCCAGTGTTATTTTAAAAAGCATCGACTGTTCTTTAGTTTGCTCACAATTTGACTTTCGTGCCCATAAAAGACGAATATTTTCGATTTTTTAAAGTCTTGGGCGTAACTTTTCCCGGGGTTTGAACAGCTCTTTTTCAAAGTTCAGTAGCGCCGAAAGTGGGAGTTTTTACGGAATTTTTTTAGTGCTAGTTCAAAGAGTATCGTTGGTTCTTTGTTTGTTCACTGGGTCGCTTTTGTGTCCTCAAAGGGCATTTTTTGTCGATTTTTTCAAGTGTTAGTCGTTATTTTTCTGGCCCTTTGCATCAGGATGTTCACAGTTCAGTAGCGCTGAAAGTGGGAGTTTTTACGGTATTTTACCAGTGATAGTTTCCAAAAGATCGTTTGTTCTTTGTTTGTTCAATAGGTGGCGTTTGTGCCCTTAAAGGGCAAATTTCTTCGATTTTTTAAAGTCCTTGTTGCAACTTTCCTCGCCTTTTGCATGGGGATTTTCAAAGGTTCAGTAGCGCCAAAAATGGGCTTTTTTGCAAGGTTTTTTTCAGTGTTTTTTTAAAAAGCATCGACCGTTCGTTGATTGCTCACAGTTCGACTTTCGTGCCCTTAAAAGGCGAATGTTTTCGAATTTTTAAAATCTTGGGCATAACGTTTCCCCGGGTTTGAATGGCTCTTTTTCAAAGTTCAGTAGCGCCGAAAGTGGCAGTTTTTACGGGATTTGTTTAGTGCGAATTCAAAGAGTATCGTTTGTTCTTTGTTTGTTCACTGAGTCGCTTTTGTGCCTTCAATGGGCAATTTTTCTCGATTTTTTTAAGCCTTAGGCGTAATTTTTCTGGCTTTTTGCGTGAGGATTTTTAGAGTTCACTGGCGCCGAAAGTGGGAGTTTTTACGGGATTTTTCTAGTGACGGTTGAAAAAGGATCGTTTGTTCTGTGTTTGTCCACTAGGTTACTTTTGTTTGTACCTACTCTTAAAGGGCTAATTTCTTCGATTTTTCACAGTCCTTGCACCTTTCCCTGCTGTTTGCATGCAAAGTTTCAAAGTTCAGTAGCGCCTAAGATAAATTTGCTGGGGAACTCCAAGGGATATTTTTTAGTTCCTCCCAGGATTGCATCGGTCTCCACCTCCTACACCAGCGACTCTGGCTATTGCCAAGAACTGAAGAACTACAGCGTGCTTCCAACGCAATGGAACACTGGAGGAGATGGGAAGAAGGAATCCGCGGCAGTTTATGAGGAAATCAATGACAATCACAGTGAGTTTATTTCATATGGCTCCAACACACTTCACCTGCAGCACATCTTAAGCGTCTTCCGCATGTAAGTCCTAAACCCGTTGTGCCACCAGGCGTAAATCAGGGGGTTGATCAGGCTGTTGGTGAAGCCTAAGATAGTGAGCGGGCTGGCAATTAAGAGCCGCAGGGTTTTGCACGGTTCCGAATCCTCATCCAGGCCGCAGTGCTCGCCCACGTAGAGAATGCAGGCGAAAAAATAGGGCGACCAGGTCAGAAGAAAACTGAGCGTGGTAAAGAGGACGATTTTCACAGCTTTCCACTTGTTGGGCGCTTTTGTTTGCGACGGTTTCCTGCCCTCCGATTTTCGCTTCACCGGCTTCATTGGCACCTCCACAGTCCCTTTGAACATTCGCAGATTCTCTAACGCCTCCAGCTGCTCGGAAATCGTATTCACCGTGTAGATGGAGCACTGAATCTGCTTGATGTTGACCAAGGCGTGATACAGAATGATAGAATAGAGCACCATCACAATGATGATTGGAATGATCCCGATGCAAACCGTGACGATGATCAAAGGACTGGGCGCCACTACGATGAACCAGCACACTCTGCCATCCGAAGTGTCGCCGGACCAGCCGAAGAGAGGCAAAAACCCGATAATCATCGCTGCAAACCTCAAACTGTAGCAGGATGCAGCAGAACTGTAGGAGAAACTTACCCATCAGCCAGGTCAGGCCTATAACTATTCGAACGCGCACTGTGCTGATCCATTTGCAGTATTTGATGCCGTAGACGATGTAGAGGAATCGGTCTACTGCGAGCAGGCCTACGGAGTAGATGGACGAAAGGGTGCTGGATACAATCATGCCTAAGGATTCAACAGGAATTGTCAGATTTTTTCAAAGCGGATTTTTTTATTCTTGAGGGTAGTAACAACATTCATAAAACCTCTCCAGTGTTGTGAGAATCTCTACTCTAGAATACACTAACAAGCGCAACACTTCTAGTGTAACACTAGATTGTGAGCAAAGTGACCAAAGGTTTCAGCACAACTTTTACTCCTATAATGCTGAATTTTTAATGAAAGTTAGAAAATATGTTGCAAAAGTTGTGCTAAGCACTTTAGGCAAAACACGGTAGAAAAACAACTTGTTTTGCAGCAGGAAAGAGTTTTTCGCAGTTTTGTTGTTCCGCAAGTTGGGGTTTTCCTGAAATTGACCAGAAAACCTCAACCGCTTCTACATGAACATACACGGCTCAGTTCCAATTGAAAAAAACACTGTTTAGAGGCAGAAATATGATTTTTTGGCAGTCGAAGCAGTGTCGTCCGCGTAAGAAGGCTTAATGCCTCTAAATTATCAAGAAAAAATGTGAATTGTGTTAAAAATCAAATAATACAAACCCATTTGAATGGCACAAACATGATGGTTCCGGTGACTTTTCGGGTAGAATTGACCAAACAAGATAGATATTCCTATGATAGTGTCCGTCATTGCCACATTGCCCAAAAACAGATAAGTGTACCTCGGTTCTATACCTGCAAACAAATGCCTCGGTTAGAAAAATTGAAGCTTTGAGGAATTAATCCCCATCTGGCAACAGCAGTTTCAAAAAAGACTACGAGGGTCGACCCACATTAATCATGCATAAATCAATTTCGAAGATAATCGATCAGCCGTAATAAATGCATCAACTGATTAAGGAGCTTCTGCTGACATTAATTTGGCAAAAATGAGTGATTTACCAGAAAGTTACGCAAATGGTTTATGAGTTTCTTTGGCTAATCGACCCGAAGATTGGAAAACAAGCAAAAAAATAATTAGTGCCTAACGTTTTACAAGCATGAGTGACTATCACCTTCAGAGGTGGCAGCCAAGCAATTGACCTCTGAAGATGCAAGCCACTAGTGCTTGCGAAATGTTAGGAAAACTTATTTGTGTTAGGGCCTAAAGGCCCGAAAATCTCACCAGTTTCAGACTTCATTTAATTACAATTTTTCAAGCAACAATTACAAAGTTAGATAAAAGAAAATCGGCTATTTGGAACTTAGCTTTTTAATAGACGAGAAAGTATTCAGCATCCTGCAAAGATCTCTCAGATTTACAATTTTTGTTGCCTCTGAAAGTTCAGCAAGCTTTTTCAATGTGGATCAAGCCGCATTTCAAACAGGCCTTGTTCGTATCCGCCACTAGCCCACATTGACAGCTAACGTCAAAATTACATGAAACATTCAAAATCGCTTGTCCTCCTAAAAATCGCCACCACGCTTGAGAAATGTACACAAAACAGTTCAGATAACGTCGATCTATCGAAATTTGTACAGTTTTGGTTTCTAAATCTAAGAACAAATGCGATTTTCTCGATATGATTGGGACGGAAATGCGTCAATTTTCACTAACTTCAGACTACTGAACTGACAAGGTGAGTGGGGCAGCGATATACTTCATTGACTACACAAGTGGAGTTTTGAGACCGATTCTTTGGCAGTATGTCGGTTGTTAGATCGAAAACATGCTGGGGAATTTCTTCTGACATGAAAGTATTTAAGACCTGTCAAAGTTGATTAGAAAACAATTCGCATTTAGCGACTGCATTAATGTGCTCCCTTCCTTGTTAAGGATATTTTTGACGTACTGAAGTCATGATTAACGATTCGAAATTAAAAAAAATAGGAACAAGTTCATTTACGAAAAACATTGCTAATTAATTCAGGCATTCACTAATTGTCGAGTTTCTTCCAAAAAAATTCCCAGATTTCCCATTTCTGTTGCCTCCGTAAGTCCAGCAAGCTTTTTCAATGAGGATCAAGCAGCATTTCAAACAGGCCTTGTTCGTACACGCCACTAGCCCACACTGACAGTAAACGTCAAAGGTACACGACATATTCAAAATCGCTTTTCCGCCGGAAAATCGCCACCCCGCTTGAGAAATGTACACAAAACAGTTCAGATAACGTCGATCTATCGAAATTTGTACAGTTTTGGTTTCCAAATCTAAGAACAAATGCGAGTTTCTCGATTTGATTGGAACCGAAATGCGTTAATTTTCACTAACTTCAGACTACTGAACTGACAAGGTGAGTGGGGCAGCGACATACTTCATTGACTACACAAGTGGAGTTTTGAGACCGATTCTTTGGCAGTATGTCGGTTGTTAGATCGTAAACATGCTGAGGAATTTCTCCTGACATAAAATTATTTAAAACCTGCCAAAGTTGATTAGAAAACATTTCGCATTTAGCGACTGCATTAATGTGCTCCCTGCCTTGTTAGGGATATTTTTGACGTACTGAAGTCATGATTGACGGTTCGAAATTTAAAAAAATAAGAAAAAGTTCATTTACGAAAAACATTGCTAATTAATTCAGGCATTCACTAATTGTCGAGTTTCTTCCAAAAAAATTCCCAGATTTCCCATTTCTGTTGCCTCCGTAAGTCCAGCAAGCTTTTTCAATGAGGATCAAGCAGCATTTCAAACAGGCCTTGTTCGTACACGCCACTAGCCCGCACTGGCAGTAAACGTCAAAGGTACATGACATATTCAAAATCGCTTTTCCGCCGGAAATTTGCCACCCCGTTTGAGAAATTTACACAAACAGTTCAGAAAACGTCGATCTATCGAAATTTGTACAGTTTTGGTTTCTAAATCTAAGAACAAGTGCGAGTTTCTCGATTTGATTGGAACCGAAATGCGTTAATTTTCACTAACTTCAGACTACTGAACTGACAATGTGAGTGGGGCAGCGACATACTTCATTGACTACACAAGTGGAGTTTTGAGACCGATTCTTTGGCAGTATGTCGGATGTTAGATGGTAAACATGCTGCGGAATTTCTCCTGGCATGCAATTATTTAAGACCTGTCAAAGGTGATTAGAAAACAATTTGCATTTGGCGACTGCATTAATGTGCTCCCTGCCTTGTTAGGGATATTTTTGACGTACTGAAGTCATGATTGGCGATTCGAAATTTAAAAAAATAAGAAAAAGTTCATTTACGAAAAACATTGCTAATTAATTCAGGCATTCACTAATTTTTGAGTTTCTTCCGAAAAAATTCCCAGATTTGCGATTTTTGTTGCCTCCGTAAGTCCAGCAAGCTTTTTCAATGCGGATCAAGCCGCATTTTAAACAGGCCTTGTTGGTACACGCCACTAGCCCGCACTGACAGTAAACGTCAAAGGTACACGACATATTCAAAATCGCTTTTCCGCCGGAAAATCGCCACCCCGTTTGAGAAATTTACACAAACAGTTCAGAAAACGTCGATCTATCGAAATTTGTACAGTTTTGGTTTCTAAATCTAAGAACAAATGCAATTTGATTGGGACGGAAATGCGTCTTTTTTGACATTACTGACATTTAACTCCGTTAATCTAGTCAACGTATAGAAATTTGGCAAAATATACCAAAAACTCAATAAATTCACGAGTCTTTTGTGTTTATCGAGTAGAATAACGTTTTCCTAGTCATGTTGACGACATTGAGGCAATTTTTGGTCTAAAGCGTTTAAAAGTGCAAAAGTGTCGTTGAACTCTCGTTAGCGCCGCTGAAAACTGTCGAAATTTGCAAAAACCTGTCAAAAACTCAAGAAAAGCCTCAAATTTCCCAATTTATAACGTAAAGTTTTGGGGGGCCAGTCTTTTGGGGGCCAGTCTTTAGCCTCAGGTAAGCAAAGCCCAAACAGCCCCATAAAGTCCCATGGAAATTTGACCTGCCAGTTCAAAAAATTTCCAAAAATCAAGGACAATTGGCTCTAAACCAAACAGTTGGCGCACTAATAGACCGGATCTTTCGCCATCGACCGGCAGTAAAAATAGGTTTCTACTTGGCCAGACTTTGAGGAAGAATTTTTGGAAAATTTCTGGTCGGGTTAGAGAAGAGAATTATTTTCCAATGCGGCCTCAAACCGGAAAAGTTCAACAATTTCAGTTGCTGTCCAAGTTTGATGAGGAATTTACTCACCAGTTTCTGTTACGGTTGAAGTCGCTGAGAAATGTATATACTGGTGAGTTGATAGGGCTTCTAGGCTGTCGTTTAAAATGGTTTCTTCCTGACGTTTTGCAAGCAAAAGGGGTGTGCATCTTCAGAGGTTGGCAGCTTGGCGCATGCAGCCCTTCTGAAGATGCAAGATACCTACTGGTGCTTGCAAAAGCATCTCTGATAGTGGCTGTATTTCTTTGGACGGAAAGTGCGCACTTTAACGGTGAAACTTACGTTTTCGTATCAGTAAGCCACTGGAAACCACAACGCTAAAATTGACCAGCACTAAAACGGCTCCAACTAATGGAATCACATAGTCGTAGACGGTCAAATAGCGGTTCACTTGCGGATCGTCGAGCTCGGAGTCAGTGGGCAGGCTGTTGCCCATGTTTGCCTCATGTTGTGCAGTGCTATCAGCACTTGTGAACATCATAATTTCGCGATTTATCAATTATTTTGTTTTTCCCTTAATACCACGGGATCATGGAGCACTTAATAAAAGGCCATCACTCACTCACACCGAAATAGATCAGATAAAACTTCATCCTGATAGATTGAAAATAGAATTGCGCCCGCAAAGGGATATGGTTGATAAGGCGGCCGTGCCTGTTTACCCATCAATTTGCTCCTGCTTGTTTGAATTTTCTGGTCGCAGACCGTGACATCGACAGATAAGGAGCGCTAATCATGTCAAGGTGTGAGGAGGACACGCGGATCACTTCCAACGTTTATGGTTGAATCAGTGAATTTTCAGAAAGATTTTCCATCAAAAAACCTGATAATCACGTGAAAACGACGTGACAATGTACGTGAACGTCACCAGTTGTCAAGATCTATCGACGTGATGAAGATGGACGTCAAAAAAACACTTCACTGACACTTTCCTGACTTGACACCTGTTGCCAAACTCTCCCCCACGTACCACGCTGTTGATCTTCAACATCCGAACCAAGTTGGGAACTTTACCTATCTTCCACAGCCTCAACTTCTTCACTTTTCCTCTTGCAGCTAAAGCGTCAGCGGCCAATGCAGCTCCACCTGCAGCAACCAGTGCGCCAAATGCAGCGAGCAACGACCGATTTGAAGGTCCGGTTATTCCCATGTGCGTTTATCTGCACAACAAAACCGTTATCATGATGGAGATTGAAGACACGCCATCAGCCACCTGCGAGCTCATCTGCCAGGCGATCGTTAACAGTGAAGAGCTGGGCTTGAACAAGCAGCTGGCTGCTCAAGTGTTCACTTTGTGGATGATCAGTCCGATTTTAGGTGAGCGAGTTTGATGGAGCAGCTGATGAAAACAACCGAAATGTTGATTCCCCAGAGATTCAGCTGAAGCCCTACTCCAAACCGTATGAAATGAGGCAAAACTGGCGCAATCTGATCGAAAAGTATGGGCACGCCTCCGAGGGCCGGATGGAAAAGGACGAGCCGAAGCTGGTGTTTCAGAGGAACATATTCGTTACCAAACAGCTGGAGGAGAGAATCAAGTGAGTTTTGCCTCCAAACCTTGACCCGTTGGAATCCCGATATCTCGATCCAGAGACGACTGATGTTTCTGTTAAAGAGACCAAAAGATCTTAGAGCTGCTCTATGAAGAGTGCAAATATAACGTTTTGAATGGGCGATATCCGTCGGAGATCGCCTATCTGATCATGCTGGGTGGGATTCAAGCTCGGGAGGAACTGGGACCTTACAATTTGCAGGTAAGTACCTATGCGTTGCAAATGTATGCTAGTTCAGATCAAGGGACAATCTGATCGACTTCCTCAGAAGCCACTTCTCTAGCGATCTTCTCCCATCGTCTTCGTGGATGGAGACAAACACTACACTTTCCTCCGCTTCATTGATTTTCTTACCTTCTATACCACACTTCATAAGCTCACTTCGCAACATCAGTCTTCATTGTTTGCAACAATTTTTGGATCTTAAATGCAAATTTTCTGGTGGAAAAGTCCACAAAATAGAAAAGAGCTGTCAAATTTCAGTTCAAGAGTTTATAGAACCGAAAAGATGGAGCCCTTCTTCACTTGATGCCACGCTTCTTCAAACGTTCCACATTAGGGCGAAACTATGTGAAGCCAAAAACAAAGAGAAAATTAGAGAAATTAAGCCAGAAAACACTCACCAATTTGAGGAAAATCACCGTTTCAGGCTAAATTTCGAGCAGTGTTGCCAAACTGCGCAAAACGTTTTAACCTAACGAAAATTGTTTCCTTGGATACTTAACGTGTAGATTCATTCAGTTTGGGTCGGTTTAGATTATTTAGGACTTTTCAGATTATTACCTTTTACTTTTTGTATATTTTTCTAGCTTTATTAGAACAATCACTCCAACCATCAGCTAACAAACACAAGCAAATTTACTGAAAATTAACCAGAAGGAAAACAACGTATTTTGTTGAATTCCCGAAAGGGACAATAGGGTGTTTTCACTTTTTTTGTAGTAGTTATGGCCAACATTACACTGATCAAATTTTTTTTACAAAAAAAGTCTCCATAATAATTTTAAAGCGAATTTAAATTCAAATCAGATGTTTTCCGCCAAAAACGCCGAATCCGGTTCGTCGGTTGCTTATCCCGATTGTGACGTAGAAGGTCATATCAACAAAGTGTCTCGTGTTTTTTTTTTTTTTTTTCGCAGCTTTGTTTTATTATTCAGGTTATTGTGATTATCATTATTTTATTGATTGTTATTATCTTGCATAATGGAAAATAGTGACTTGTATGGATCACAAAATAAGTTGTGTTTTGTGCCAGGATGCAAGCCTTCCCCTGCCATTCCCCATGATTATGCACGTAAAGTTTTATGGTTCAAAGCAACTAGACGTGATGTTCCTAAATCAAAATCAATGTTTTTTTGTTGCGAGGATCATTTTAATGATTCTGGGCAAATTCTACGTTGTACAGTGCACAAAGAACCCTCGCGTTTCAATTCCACATATCCGATATCACCATATTGTCCTCATGATGCCCAAAATACAAATTTAAGTGTTCATTTTACCTTTAAAGCAGCCATGTGTATAGGTTAGGTTAAGTTGAATAAGTGAAATTCTATATATTATTTACCTAATTTAAACCAATACAGATAGATTACTATATTAAGGAGAGTGTAACTATCAAAACACCCTATTAATCCACCATCTGTCTATCGGCGCACTAGATAACCTCAATCTGTTGGATTGATTGTTCTCAATCAATGGACGACGATAGAAAAGATGCTTTTGCAACAACAATGAAGTTGATCAAACTTTTGCGAAAAATGCAATTACTATGCATATTAGCGACAAATTTGCATGTTTGTTGATACCTAAAGCACGATATCAAAGATACAGTGAGGATTTTTAATTGGCCTGTGTGGCTTAGGTCCATACAACGCACTTCTTCAGGGAACAGCAATCGAAATTCCTGCCGGCTCATGTGAGGAAAAGTCCCACATGGACGTGGCTGCCCATCAGCAGTAAAAGTTCCGCAGAAGTGCGGCTACTGGAGCAGTTCAAGCGCATCCCTAGCACGGCCACCAACAAGAAACTGATGAAAAAATACCTGGAGTACTGTTGGGGGTTGCCTTTCTATGGGTGAACACATTCACTCAATCATCCTCAACAAAAGCCTGCAATGTAAAGTTGATTGCAGGGCGGCATTCTTCGAAGGACAGATCGAGGAGCCCGTCCGGGGGTTGATTTCCCTGCTCACCCATCAGGATGTTCCCGTTTTGCTGGCAATCAATCCGCGCGGGTTGTACATTATCGATGATCTGAATTGTGTAAGTGTTCCATGTTGCTTAAAGGTGTTTTGCATTTGCTATGAGAATGGTGTCATCAACATCAGACAAATTGAAGGAGCGAGAACTCATCCTTTAGTAAGTTTTCTTTGTTCAAATCTCCGACTGATACACCTTTCTCTTCGAAGCAAATCGTGTTGGGGCTCCGCTACGAGGAGTTCAGCTGGGATTGCAGCAAACCGTCCAGAGAAGACAACCCGGACTGTCTTCCCTGCCTGTTTGTGCAATTCTTGGTGGTGGAAAATGGCGCCAGAGTGTCCAAGATGTTGCAGGTGTTTTCCAGACAGGCCACCTTGATGGACACGCTCATCACCTCGTATGTGTCCCAAGTGGTATCAAAGTCTAATGACGAAGTGGACAACAAAATGTGCGAAAGTCAGAGCAACAGCGATAATGGTGAGCTTAACAACAACTTTGGAATCACGGCAAGCCAGATGGGTTTTTTGCAGACAATCACAATCCTCCTGGAGGTGCAGCTGCGCCCCCTTACAGTGCAAACCATGCAGCTCTGAGCACAAAGTTGAGCAAACTTACGCTGGCAACGTTTGATGACGAAGGACACTGTATTGGCCAGATGGGATCTTGGTCGTTCAGCTATTAA